AAGGGAAAAATGCCTGTTTTTTTTTTTTTTTTTTTTTTTTTTTTTTGAGGAATATTGAGGGAACCAGAGGGATCCTGACAGATGAGAGACAAAGACAGTAGCTGGGAGTAACCCGTGATGAGACCAGGCCGTGATGGGGTGGGGAGGGGGGCGCGTGTTTGAGCAGGGTGCATCATGGTGGCCCTGAGATGAGCCATCATGCATTTCCAAAGTATGCCTCTGGTGCTGTTTGCAAATAGATGATATGGGTGCAGACAGAGAAACAAAGAACTAATTAGGAGGCTGTTTCAAGAACTCACAAGAGGGAAAATGTCTACTCAGCTAGAGTAGGATCAGTGGATGTGGTTAACTGGTGGTGTGTGAGATGTATTATGAAGAAAGAGCCCAGGCATCTTCCAAAGGATTGAATGCAGGTGAGAAGAAGAAAAGTGTTTAGCACAATGCCAGGGCTTTTGGCAAGCAGCACAGAGGGATGAGATTGCCATTAACTGAGATAGAAAAGCAAATCTGGTTTTTTAAAATTCTTTTATTGGTACATTTTAGGTATACAACACATTTACATTCCATATTGGGAATTGTACCTTTATATGATGCATCTTGGTTCCTATTTTTTCCCCATTCCTAGCCCGCCCTTCACCCCCTCCACCCTCCCCTATTTACAAAGACTTTGTTTCCATTTTTTCCATTTCTCATCATTTTTCCTTTCCCTTCTTTCCTTTCCCCTGCCCCTCCCACTACCCCTACCACTTTGGACCTTTTCTTCCTATTTTGCATTAGCAAATCTGTTTCATAAGACAAGGTCTGTGTCCTAAAATCCTCACGGCAGGGGGGAGGGGGGAATGAGGATGAATTAAACAATGTGATCAAGTAGCTGAGCTAATGTGGAAGAACACAGGGAAAAAGTATCATTTTAATCTTGACGAGGAAGCAGGTGGCAAGGATCCATGTATTAGAGAATGAGGAGGATGTGAAAATTGAGAAGGGGTTTATTAGTGGAAAAATCATCATAAGAAATAGCAATGCAAAAATAGTGTTTAGGTGGAACTTGGAGAGTAGGAAAGCATGTATGACCAGTGTGGCAGCCAGGTGCTGAAAAGGATTGGGGCACGCAGAGAGGAAACTATAGGAGAGATATGGTCAGGTATTGGCTAAGTCACAAACTCTGCCCTTCATTTTCAAAATGAAGATGATGCCTTTTCAATTTGAGTCCCCAGTAACTATGAAGATCATTGTAAGCCATTATTCAAATTAAAGTATGCTAATTTAAATCAGTGCTATGTACTTTACATTATGTACTGAAAGGTAGATCTTTTCTGAAAAAGGATGCAGGTGAAATTTAATCCACTCCTGAGTTTAACAGAGTTTGAATTGTACTTCCTGCTTTTATGATCTTGACATTTTTCATTTATTCATACTTTTAAGCTAAGTAATGTCAGTGTTTATGAATCCTTTATGTCACACTTTGTGTATGTCCACACATCTCTTTTTAACTGCCAGTAATTAAGTAGCTTAAGACAAAATTGTTCTGAAACAGTGATCTAGGTTATGATTTGAGTTGAAATTGTTTAAGCACACAAGCGATAAACATGTGCTTACATAAGCAAGGTCCTGGGTTCCATGTCTACCACCAACCCCAGCCAAAAGAAAGTGAGGAGGAGGGGGAGGGGAAGGGGGGGAGAAGAAAAGGAAGGGGAAGGAGAAGACGATTTGAAAGAAAAAAGTACAGTACACAAGAGGACAGGTCTATAATCACGTCTCTAGCTCTGACTACCAAATTTTCAGCTTTTTCAGATGTTTCTATTTCAAGTATTTCACCTAATGTGTGAAATGAATAATATGTTACAGTTTCAGCATGTCTTTCAGGGAATGGGACAGCGAAGACCATTAGATAGTGGAATTCAGGGTAACTCGAGCTCATTGATAAGATGACTCTTAATATAGATAGGGTCCTGTTTAAATTCCTTAGTCAGTGGCTCAGGATATACATGTATTAGTGGATTTTGCTCTTATCAATGAACTAATCTGAGCCCTTGCTTTAAAAAAGAATCTTCAAATATAATTGTTCTTAACATTTACAAAGCCTTTAATTCTGTTGTGAGAGACGTGCATGTCGTGAGGGGTAGGTTACTAAAACATGACTCAGCGCCATCATCATCACCGCTAGAATAAGCATCGTCCAGATTGTTAAAGCCATTATTTTTTATTTAAAAAGTGAATTAAGGGGACAGGGATTTAGCTCAGTGGCACCACCCCTGCCTTGCAAGTCCAAGGTCCTGAGTTGGATCCCCGGTACCAAAAAAAGAAAGAAAAAAAAAAGTAAATTAAGCATGTAATTTTTAAGTTTCTATAATGTCCTTCTGGTTTCAGAGAAAACAGATGAGGTTTACTCTTCTAGAATATTCTAGAAAAAATGTCATCTTTGGAAGTGAAAAATTTGCATGGAAGGACATTTCAGAGACCCAGTTTATATTTGAAAATGATTCAAGTGACTCTTTTATATAGTTAAAGGGCTGGTTAAAGTGTTGACGTGATGGTAAATTGGATCTGTCTAGAGTAATAGGGGAGTAGCCATCTTCAGAATATAAAAGACTTAAGACAAAAAATAGCTCATAGTTGGCAGTTTTTTTTTTCTTTTTGGTGGTACTAGGGGTTGAACCCCTAGTACACTGGCTACCTCCCCAGACCTTTTTAATTTTTTACTTTTTATTTTGAGACAGGTATTGCTAAGTTGCAGAATTGCTCAGGTTAGTCTCAAACTCATGATCCTCCTGCCTCAGCCTCTCAGAATGCTGGGACTATAGGGGCATGCCACTCTGCTTGAAGACATAGCTATTTAGAAGCAGTTCTAACTTGTGCTTTTATAAAGTTTTTTAGTTATGTCTAAGCAGCCATTGTGCAGTGGATTTATATACCAAATACATTTTATTTTAATATTTTAGGCACATGGTTTAGTTATTGGCTTAATGGTAACCTAAGCTACTCTGCACAGAGCAGAAAGAGCCTACTATATTTTATACTTCGTATTTGTATACTTTTTTGTGTGTGTGTGGTACTGGGGATCAAACTCAGGACCTTGTGCTTGCAAGGTAGGCATTGTGCCGCCGAGCTAAATCACTGGCCCATTTCTATTCTTTTTAAAATGAGATGGTCGGCATCCCATATTTTCTTTAATTCCCTCATTGTTCAGGTTATATTTTTTCCTCTAGTATAGTGATATTTTGGATTTCAGTGTGCTATGCTTCAGGAAAAGGAAAGGTGTGTGTGTGTGTGTGTGTGTGTGTGTGTGTGCGCGCGTGCGCGCACGCGGGCATGTGGGTGATATTTACTTTTTTATTATGTAATTTAAGGCAAGGCTAGGAACTAGCAATGTTATGACTGTTTTTCACCCTAATGAAGCCCTTTTAATGTGCAATGGTCAAAGTTCTTAATAAAAGCCTATTAGTGGAAATTTCTTATAGTGGAAAAACAGCATTTAAAGAATGTTTCAGTTGACTTCAGATGTTTAATTTGCTTTTTTGATTGCTTTATTATTCTTATAGAATCATACATGTAAGCCTTAAACCCTCTAAATATGCAAACTTCTTGAAGCAAAGATTTCAGGCTCAGCTTCTCTCAGGTCTCACTAGAGTTATCTTAATTCACACGTTTCCCCCTTTCTCCAGGCCAGCTGCCTCTGGCCCCGTAGAAGCACGTGCTCCAGCAGCAGTGAATTCCAGTGCCAGCATAAGCACTTGGTTCACTGTTTGGTGGCCAAAAGAGAGTGATGATTTCACATCTTCCTGGAACTGAATCATATGTGACCTGACTACAGGTCCCATGTTTCATATTCCAGGTTTGTATATCACAGCAATTTAATAAAGAAACCATTTTTATTTTCTTCTCAGATCATGTGGATGAGCGGACAGTGTGCAATGGAATTGCCCCAGGAAAAGATGTGGATGGGTTTCATGTTGTCAACATGGGGAGACTGTGCCTGGACCAGCATTCGTTCATCCCTGCCACTGCCAGTGCTGTCTGGGAGATCATCAAAAGGACAGGTAGTAACCTGCAGGACACAGGTGTCAGTTGCTGAACTGAGCATTTGTCCATTGCTTTGATGAAACTACCTCAGTCTTGTAGAAGGGCAGAATATGATAAGCCATAAAGCTTCAATCCCTAGGTAGGTAAAAAGCTATAGAAATCAAAAAATAATTCAAAATGAAATAAAATCAAGAACATGTGCCAGGTTTCAGGTAACTGCAGTTGGAAGTTGTAGGGGTGAATTTTCCAGATAATATTTATGGCTTGCTACCTTTAAACTAAATGTTGTACATTTTAATGAAAGCTGATCCAAAATGTATACATATTACATTTCTCCTACTACAATGATGTGCTGATGGTCTAGGAACCCACCACTGTTGCCCCAGGTATCTGTTGTAAGCATTCCCCTTGAATCACATCAGACACAGTCACACTCGCTCACTGTCAGGTGTACAGAGCTGGTCACCTCTCCGTGAACTGACCCCTGTCATTCAAGATATCGCCTGCCTGGAGGTAGAGATCACCTGTATCCACCACTCTCCTGCCATTTCTCGTAGCATCTTTGCCTCTGTAATCTATTTTCTATTTTTTTTTTTTTTTGGTACCGGGGATCAAACTCCGGTTTTTCTGCTTGCGAGGCAGGTGGTGGAACCATTGAGCTAAATCGCCGGCCCCTCTATTTTCTAACTGACAAAATATTTCGAAGAGAAAGCAGAACCTAGAATCATACATGTAGGATGTTAGTACTTGGACAGTCATTAGTTCTAACTTCTTTTACTTATGAAGAACTAAGCCCAAAAGAGGCTATGTTAAATCTGCAAGCTTTATCTTTCACATCCTTCTAAATCTCCCAAGTTTAGTGCTTCTTTCCTCTGGTGTAAAGTACATGAACTTTGTGAAAAATACTTTTTCCCACTCTATTTTATCCCACCTTTGCTCAAATGTTTGATTGCTGATTAAGCCTGATATTATTACTTGGCATATTTTATAATTAGTAATTAATATAAAGGCTCTGTACTTCTTCATGTAGATTGCAATGTTTAAAAGTAATTTAATGGTATCTTGAAGGTGTTTGTGGTTTTTAAATGAGGATATAATCAGAGAGGAAGTAGGTGACAAATCCACGAAGCATAAAAGGAAATACTCATAAATAATTGAATACAGGCACATAAGAGACAAGCCATGTAATTCAGATTTAATTAGAGCTTTTTAAAGAATGCTTCAGTTGACAATGTATGCTTCTTGTTATTGATTTTTGCATTTAAATCAACTCTGTATTTCAAGGAATTGAAACTTTTGGGAAAAATGTGGTTGTGGCTGGAAGATCCAAGAACGTAGGCTTGCCCATTGCCATGCTTCTGCACACAGATGGAGACCACGAGCGACCAGGAGGTGGGTAGGACCCAGACTCATGAAGTCTTATGACTCCCTTCCTTCTTAGGGCATCAAGTAAAAGTTATTGATGATGCGAATTTGCATAATTTTGGCCTTAAACAATTAGTTTCCTTTATTCCTCATCTAATAGTGTGAACACCTAGGAAGTGAATAAAGGAATTTCTGAAAATATTTGGCCCCTTTGTTCCTGTTGTTTCTTTTGGCCACATATATTTCTTTAAATCGTTAATAATTTAGACATAAAGAAAGGTGAAAAGTCACTAGATACATAAAAATTACATTTAAGAAAGTTCTCAAAATCTTGGAAAAATGGATGTGGCATTCTTGAAACGGCAAGGTCCTGGTATTTCACATGACAGCAAATTAGTTCACTTTACAGACAAGGGGTTGAGGTGTAGGCGGTAAACTGGTCATCTAGCTTAGGCAAGTACTTACTGAGCTGCTGGGAGTAGTCATTAAGAAAGCTGGGTAACTTGCTAGTGTTTGTGAACGTGTGGCTGGTTCTCCAGCAGCACACCACCTCACCACCATCCCAACAGCCTCTTAGCCAGAGGCAGAGCAGTTCCCTGGGGTGAAAAGGGGGTGACCGAGAGGAGATCCAGCAGAGGGATGCTGGGGTGCTGTTCATGGTCATCTGAGCCAGTGTGGTAGGTAGAGAATAAAAGATTACTTGGCTCATTGCCAATGGCTAGATTCTGCATCTTGTCCCAACAGGGCAAAAAGACAAGGTTCACGTTCTTATTAGAAGTAGTTATTGGTCTATGTGTGTCTTAGAGATTTTTATTACTTCCTTTTCTGCTAACTATTCTTAATATTTTTAGGGGGCAGGAGAGGAGGCTAATCTTTTATATAGCAAGTACTTCCTTGGTTTCTTTAGTTCCAAAAAAGAGAAGCGATACTTTTTTGTTTTCTAGTATTAAAACAGAGTATAGACATGCATTTGGTTGTGTATAACGCATACACATACACACACACACACACACATACACACACAGAGAAAGAGACCATGCGTAGGTATAATCTTGGTGAATTATTTTCCCTTTCTGTGCCTAAGAATTTAAATATGCCAGAAACCAATATGTATATAAAGATCATAGTAAATTACAGCCTGATAGTGACTCCAGGTAACTTTTTAAGTGCACAGTTATGAAGAGCTCTTTGAGAAGCCAAATCTGGTGGTATGATAAGTTTTATTATATCCATCTCCAAAGCTGAATTCTTGGTTTCAGTGTTCCCTTTAGATTACTCTATTCCTGCTTATCTATCTCATAGGTTATCATAACAATATTGATTTGCATTTGTCTTTACATGATGGCTTATATGTTAAGCAAGGTAAAATAATCAGGAACATTTACCTGGTGTGGTATTTTTCTTGGAAAATTTTGACCAAGAGCTGATAAGTAGGTTTTTCTTTATTCAACAGTTTGTTTTCTTATCTCAGTAACAATAGGCAGCATTATGTAGCTCTATGTTTTACGCAGTACTTTCTCATAAACTATCAATATTACTTTCATTTTGTAGCTAACAGAAACGAGCTTTAGAGAGCTTGGAGAATGTGCCCAAGGCCACACAGGAAGTGAGGATTCCAGCATAGGAAGGTGACACTGAGTCTTATCAGGAGGGCAGGCCTGGAGTCAGGCTCCACCATACTGTGCCCTTGATTTTGGACAGATCATTTAATCTGTGTAGAACTCCATTTTCCTCATCTGCAAAATGCAAATAATATTAACATTTCCTTTACTTGGTTGTTGTGAAAATTAAATGAGATACAAATGGAAAACAATGACAGTGCCTGAACCACAGTGAGTTAAGTCTATGGGTATAGTTGTGGCTGTTGCTATTATTTCAGTTATTATGGTTAATAACCATAACTATGGTAACCATCAGGTATAGAGTAATGAGATCTGAGATGAATTATTTTTTTTTGTTTTGGTACCAGGGATCGAACTCGGGTCCTTGCGCTTGTGAGGCAGGTGGCAGAACCACTGAGCTAAATCCCTGGCCCAGATGAATGATTTTTAAAAATTTTATTTGAAGTTTTTTTTTTTACTGGGTTTGAGTTGGCTTGGCTTTTTTGGTTCATAGTTTTTTTTGGTAACAATTTTTTTTTTTTTGATACCAGGGATTGAACTCACGACCTTGCACTTGTGAGGTAGGCATGGTGCCACTGAGCTAAATCCCTAGCCCAGCTTTTATAAATTTTGAAGTCATTCAAAAAGTCACTCAAAAGTCACACAAAAAGGGCCAGGGATTTAGCTCAGTGGCACTGTGCCTACCTCACAAGTGCAAGGTCCTGAGTTCGATACCCAGTACTCCAAAAAAAAAAAAATTATAAAAGCTTACATAGTATTTGATAAAAATGTGACATGACATTATTCCGGTTAGTACTTTACAATGCACTTTTTCTTATAGGCATGTGTATATTATATGCTCACTTCCTGTTAAATTTCAATTTTGAAACTTTGTATGTAAAGTACCTAAGAAAATTATCTTAGCCCTTCTTAATGCAGTTGTAGACTAGCTAATCTGTATAATAAACAGTATATATTTTATTATATATTTTATTACTATGGCTTACTTATAGGTACATACATATATAATAAAAATATTGAATTAACCATGAGAAATACAAACACAAATTGGTGGTAGCAATGACCTCTGAGCAGAGAATTGTAAAGCCATATTACTTTTAAAAATATTTTCTGCTTTGTATAATAGAATATTCTCACTTAAAAAAGCATGTTAAAATCAGATAAATATGGAACTGCTTATAATGCTGCTTACAAGCCAAATAGTTAAAGTTAGGTTTATTACAGTGGCTGATGCCATCACAGTTACAGCACGTAAAAAGTAAGAAACTACATAGAAATGTCCATGGAAGGTTCACAGCATGGATGCTGTTGAAGGTTGTACACTTGTAACAGGAGTGTGGTGACATGTACTCTTCAAATAATGACTGTCGAGAACTGCTTCCAGAAGACTGGCCATCTGTGGGAAGATGAGCATTCTGAAAGCTGGGGTCTGGCCAAGCAGCAGCTCTGTGGTGGGCTTCCCAGGGTATCATCAGCTAATGGAGACAATGCAGGACATTAACTTGGCAGGTTCCTGCCTCTGGGCTCATTCTAAAGACACCCCCAATATGGAGCATTCAGCTTGCACTGTCTCTGCCAGAAGAGATTCAGAACCCTAATGATTCATTTTTTTAAAAAATATCGAAGCCAAAGATAATTGCATTAAAAGAAAAAAAAAGCCATACTGTAATTTAGCTTGATTTGTATGTCTCTCCCCTGTCTGACTTTGAGTTTAGATGCAAAGGATGCAGACCTGAGCTGTTTAATGCAGAAAATGTCCTTTTAATTCACTTATGGCTAGAAATACTTCGTGAGAATATACTAAAATCTTGAATTGGAAGGGTAATGCTGACATGGGCTCCTCAGGAGGGAAGGGCTCACAGAGGCAGTTTGAAACCTGTGGTGCAGAGAGGAGATGGGGAGCCGGTTCTTCTACCTGAAGGTGTGGTCTTGCAGATGGTGACAGAATGCAAAGGGACACTGTGTAAAAATATGGGGAACTTAAACTTTAAAGATTCATGGGCACAAAATACAAGTTGGCATCCATCAGCAAATATACTCTTTGCTTAGGGAAGGCCAGGGTTAATTGAAATGACGTACAGAGATGGGCTGTGACAGGTCCCTTCCTGTGACCCCACTGGTTACCTGGACAGTTGAGTACATTGTGCCCCTCCTCAGGTTTTTCAGCTTCTTCCTGTGTAGTGTACTTTGAGAGTTTCACCTTCTTTCAGAATAAAACTGAATACCATTAACTCTAGCAGAATGTCTTTATTTTTTTTTTGTTTTATCGTGAGAAAGGAAGAGAGAAACTCTCCAAATTCTAGAAAACAGTTTTTTTCTTAAAAATAAATTGCCATAATGACTAAAGTATTATTGTTATTATTGCCAGAGAAATTCAGGATCTAAGTATACCTCAGAATTTAGTAGGCTAAGTTCTTCCCTGGATTTTTTTTTTATATGTAGAACATCTCATAAAACAGGCCCTGCAATATGTCCACACACAAATCACATGCGACTCCTTTAGCTGAAAGGTTGTGGTCTGACTGCAGGGCACTGACACTGACATACTTAAAACAACCATTTTGGAGGGACCGGCTCTCACTGCTCTTTTAGCCACAGAAACTGTAAGTAATGTTCTTGACCTTATGCAGCTGGTACCCATGAGGTGCTCACTGCATACCCAGCAGTGTATGCTCTCTGGATGCAGCAGTCTCCTGAAGCTCCCACTCTGCGTCTTTAGGATGCTTCTGTGGAAGGTTTGTCTTCTTCAGCCCTGTCTCTGCCTTTGCACTTTACATTCAGGCTGATCTGCTGGTGAATTTTCTTCATTGCAGGCATTTTTGTTCAAGAGACTCCCTATCTAAAAGGAAAATCACAAGACTTGCCAGAAGAATTTCTTGACTCCATTTGGGAAAATGAATACTTTGCCAGCCAGGGAACATTATGTCCCCTGCAGGACGCATTAACTCAGTAATGGATGCTCAAGGCAGTGTGTGATACTATGTGAGTGGCTTGTGTGAAGTGCTGCCCAGGGGCAGGTGGGGCCAAGCTTGCTTAGGGGCCAAAGAATGGAACCACACATAAGCACACAAGAAGGCAGGGGTTAGGCAGAGCCGTCACCCTCCAGGACTGAAGCGCTCAGTCATGAGGCCACAGAGCACAGTGGGATGTGTACTCTCTCTTCAGAAAGAACTATTGTCAGCTCGAACCATGGAAGCATTTTGTCTCTGAAAGCTGGAAGCATTTCATCTCTGCTACTCCGTCCTAGTGGCCCAGGTTACGAGCATTATAGCCAGATGTCAGGATACAACAATTCACAATGCCTCTGAGACTTCACTGAATCAAACTCATGAGTCTCAGTAGTTGATATGGTAGCAAAGAACAAATGATGATTCTAATCTCCTTTTCTAAAATGAGTAATAACAGCACTATTTCATTTTCATTGTCTCCTAGATTCTGAGACTAAAAACTGAAAACATCACAGGCACATGGTAATATATAATCCATGATGCAAATGAGCAATAATGAAGAAAAAGGAAAGGAAAATAGAACTAAAATAGAGCCAGAGAGAAGACTTCTAAAATGAACAGATCATTTCTTCCTGGCTCACTTCCCATTGTTGCACACAATCTTTTAAAAACAATGTATGTTTGGTAATTTTATTTAATTAACTTTAAATTATACTTGCTATGCTTGGGTAACTAATTTCATCCTGAGAGCTTATTAGTAGCAAAATAAATGACTAGTTACTCAAGTAAGTGCCTTTAAAATTAAAAATAAACATATGCTCGGGAAAAATAAAACATTTTCTGTTATTGAGATGGAAAAGTAATTTCTCCTGAAGGTTCTTATATTTTTCATTAAACAGAAAACCATATGACAGATCGACTAATGTTCATAACATGCTTTTCAACTTAACAAATGGCCACATTTTATGGGCTGTTTCTCTTGTTATTTAAACACAGATTTGAGCTACCACTGGCATGCATTGTGGGCTTTTCTCATTGGACTTTTCTGATTCTGTTTCTGGGTCACTCCCTTCTTTGCAACTTATGGACTGGTGATTCCTTGCCCCAGGTGCCCACTAGAATTGTCAGGGGGCTTTAAAAGGAGATACCTGCCTGCCTACAGCACAGAAGAAAGTTAGATCTTCAGGACTTAGACCTGCACATCACTTTTTTTTTTTTTTTTTTAGAAAGCATCATAGAAGAATCTAATATAGTTAGTACTGAGAATGATGGCTCAAAACATTGGGACGGGCACAGGATTTCTTTCTCTGTAGCCATTCCCTAAGTGACTCACTGCATCCCTATAGCTCTGAGTACCACCTGCATCCCTGTGGACTCTAGACCCTTATGACTATTGTCCAGCCAACACCAACCCCACTTACATGGCAAATGAGCATTCCAAACTTAGTGCATACAAACTTTTACTCCTAATTTTACCAAGTTCTTCCAGCCTGCCAGGGCAGTGGTGCAGGCTTATAATCCCATCTACTCAGGAGGTTGAGGTAGGAAGTCTCAAGCTCAAGGCCAGCCTGGACAACTTAGATCCTGTCCCAAAAGAAAATGAAAAACAAAGGGCTGGGGATGTAGCTCAGTGGTAAAGTACCTCTGGATTTGATCCCTTGTTCCACAAAACAACAACAAAAACAGCAAAACAAAGCTAGAACAAACAGCATCACCTGCTTCGCTTTTTAGTACCTTTTTTTTCCTTAAAATTAATGCGTTCACTTCAAAAAAATATTTCTACACTATTGTCTACCTTCATTTATTCAATAATCAAGAAACAACCCTGGAATTATGCTAGACAATAGGATGCATGGTTCTCTGCTCTCATACAGAGAAAGGCATGGAAATAGGGGTTCCCTTCAGAGTCCCAGGTTAGAAGAGGCAGGTGTTATGGTGCTGACCGGGTGCACTGTCTGCTGTGGTGGAGGAAGGCACATCATGGACTCTTACCATGTTGTGTTGTGGGTGTTCTGGGAAGCCCTGCCATGGGAGTGTGCACTGTGTAGAGGAGGAGCACGGTGGCTGCAGGGAAGCCAGCTCATAACAGTGTCATGTTCCACTTGAGAGGTGGCAGGGGCCTGGACCAGGATCTGCTGACTAGGGTGGTGACAGCATAGGCACATTCTACACTGCTTACTATTGAGTCAGACGTGTGTGAGAGAGACACCTCAGATGGACTGAAGAGCTGAGGAATCCTGGGTGCTGCTTAGTAAGATGGTCTGGCAGTCAACTTTCTGTTACTGTAACAAACACCTGAGATGATCAGTTCACAGAAAGATTTATCTTGGCCCACCATTTAGGGGTTTCATCCACAGTCATTTGGCTCCATTGTGGTGGAATGGGTGGTAGAACAGAACTACTCACTTTATGTTCAGAAAACTAAAGAGACTGGAGGCCCACAGTCTCCCGGAGGGCAGGCCCCCCAACACCTGAAAGCCTCCCCTAGGCCCCACCTCTTGAAGGCTCTGTCTCCTCTCAACAGTGCCTCCCTGGGGAGTGAGCTTTACCATGCGGACATTCGAACTACCTCAGATGTAACAGCAGGCATTTCCTCAGATTAGCATTCTGGGTTGATTCTGCACTACCACCTTCTCTACCATGTTACTTTACATAAATTCCTGAGGTGCTGATAGCCTGGAAAACTGCTCAGGTGCCTCCAGTGAACAAGTCTTGCTTAACTGAATTTTATATAGTCAGAAACACATCTTTCCCAGTAGTTAATTATAGAATTCTTACAAAATTCTAGGAGATAAGCTCTGAGTCTTTTATTCTTTCTATGTTTTATAAGTGTAATGCAAAGCACAGGGCATCAATAAGTTGCTTCAAACTCTGTTTATAATTTTTTAAAAATCTGGTTCTCTGTGCTATTTAAAAATGTAAGATGCAGTCTGTGGGGACAAACTGAGCATGGGAAAGTGCCATTGGGGACCAGGAATGAGCACCCTTCCCTGGAGCAGCTGCTGCAGCTTGCGGGCCTGCCCTCTGAGGAGGTAGAAAGGACCAGAGGAGCAAGCCAGAGGTTCCACTGGAGAAAGTTAACAAGACTTTTCACAGAGCCAAGTAAGACAGGTTAAATAAGGTGCTAATGACCAGGAAAGCCAGGTGCCAGGCCAGCAGCAGACACCAAGGCTTTACCAACAAGGTCAGAAGCAGAAGAGTCTGAGGCATCTCTGGAAAACTTTTGCTTTGTTTCTCTTGTAAGCATCATTGGATCTCTAAATAGCAGACTGAAAGCTCCACTGTGGCCTAGTTATTACTGTAGTCATAAACTGATCAAGCGAGTCTAAATATGATTGTCAGCTTTGATATTTTCCTGGACATTGCCTGCTAAGCTCATGTTGGAATCTCAAGGTAACCTGATGATACTTAAAAGATTTTGCCATGCAGATTGAAATTTATTTCTCTTCTGCCTGAAACTTTACAGATTGTTAATTATATGTATGTACATAATCACTGGATTATGCTGTATCTCTCAATTCTTTCCTGAAAATAGCATGGTTGGAAGGTGAGAGGTCTTGACTTTGTTTTGATTTTGATTGTGTGTGTGTCTGTGTGTGCATGTGTGTGTGTATGTATTGGAGAAGTTCTTATTTGGAACTAGAGAACATTTGTATAGTTGCTGGGGTACAAGATGGTCCTCTGAGTAGAAAAGAACTAAGAAATGGGAGGGTGCTTCTTAATGTTGGTGCTTTAGGATGTAATGCCAACATGTACTTTACAGTTGTTGGTTTTATAGTGAGTGGAGGAAAGATCAAGGGGCACTCAGGCTTTTACTCTAAGTAACTGGATTGATGTTGGTACCATTAGCAAAAAGGGAAATACTATTAGTAACTTCTTATTGTTCTTCTTTTGCAAAGTTTTCCTGGTTATCCTTTCATTTTTTTTTTTTCATTTTAACTTTAGTGTCAAATTATATGCTTCCTCTAAAAGGCAAAAGTGTTTTATTAGAATTGCATTATATTTGTAATGAACATAGGAAGAATTGGCATTATTGTACTGTCGAATCCTTTTGTCCAAGAGCATGGCTTATCACTTAGGCATACTTCTGTCTTTTGATGTTGACCTAGAGATTTTCTTGTTCCACATAAAGTTTCTACATTTTTTTGTTAAGGTTATTTCTAAGTATTTCATCTGCTATTATAGCAGGGCCTTTTCTTCTAATATATCTCTAACATTATATATGAAATCTCTTTACTTCTACATACACAGTTTTTCCTTGGAAGACTTACTGCATTCTCTTTATGTTTTTTTTTTTTTTTTGGTACTGGGGATCGAACTCGGGACCTTGTGCTTGTGAGGCAGGCAGCAGAACCACTGAACTAAATCCCCGGCCTTCTTCATGTTTTAATAATATATTTTTAGGTTTATTTATCAAACACACTTTAACTTTTATGTTTATTAACCTTTTTCTCTTTTATTTTTCTTTATGTAACTAAGTTAAATGATTATTTTATTTCTGTCTGATTGGTATAATAATTTAAGCCTGTACATTTTCTTTAAGAATTGGTTTGTATTTGTACTAGATTTGTACTGGGCTGCGTTTGCATGTCTTCCAGGAGGTGAAGAAAGAAAGTGTGTTCCGTGCTGCCACCCTCTTAGAGAACCCCCTTCCCCACTTTCCTGCCGTGGCTGGCACTTTCAGCCCTGGAATGCCTCAGGCTGCCTCCTTGTCCTGTTATCTACAGCTCCATGAAAGTTTTCCTCTGATATTCTAAGCTTCTTCACTATTTCCTAAACACAGTATTTTAAAGTTGTTTTTCCCCCCCTGCTTTCCTTTAGCTTGCATTGCTCTTCCTTGGCATACTCATGTTCATGCTTTAAGACTTCAAACATAGTTTGTCTTCTTTCGAAATCCTTCCTTGACACCTCTTCCGGTGGAATTAATCTCTCACCTGTGTGCCCCCATATATTGTCCCATTATTAGTACGTCTTACCTTGTTGCTTCCAGTCTTTATCTTCCTGTCATCAGCAACCCAGTGAGTAATCCATACCAGTGTGTTACCTGCTCAGGATGGAATTCTCACATCCTGGGTTTCTAGGGTTGATAGCCCTCCTTTGATAATCAGCACTCACCTCACCTGGCCTTGTCGATGTTCACCCATCCAGTAAAAAGGTACAATATTCTGATTTGCCTTCAGTTCCTTATCTTGCTTTTGGTCTTGGAGTGACTTAGTCATGTCAAGGCAATGTTTCTGCTCTGGGGCAGTAACTGAAACATCTCTTGATTTACAGCTTTCATACAATGTGGGAAAGACTGTGATCACTAATGGAAGCCCTTCTGCATTGCAGGTGATGCAACGGTGACCATAGCACACAGATACACCCCCAGGGAGAGGCTGAAGACCCAGACTCGGCTGGCAGACATTATTGTGGTCGCTGCAGGTGGGCCTCTGTGATGTTTTGTGGGGGAGATTATCAGCAGAGCGGGTCTTGCCCTGACTGCTAACATATTTGAGAGAATAGCTTCTTGGGAGATATGTTCATAGGGGTGTGTGTCACTTAACCTTTGTCGATCCTGTCTCTTTGCAGTCATCATACTGGTCCATTGTGTCTCTGTCAACATTTGTCCCTTCATTGTGGAAAATGCAGGTAGTTTAGGATGACAGATTAGGCACAGGAAGCTGTTATTTGAGACCAAAAACTAGATAAGGAACTGAAGATATTGTGGCTGTAGGGACAAAGAAATAAAACTTGTAAGTAGTCTTCATGAAAATAGAATGTCCAGTGGGAGGAAGAGACAGACAGCTGCCAGGCATACCCAGGCTGAAGAACCAGGTATGAATTCCACACTCGGAGGGCAAAGTTGCTGGACTGGACCATGTCCAAAGCCCAGGACCTGGGAGGTGTTTCCTCAGGAGGGCATGTGTACTTGGAACTGATGGACTGAGTATGCTTGGTCTACAAGGAAGAAAGGGTGACTTAGAGAAGATACAAAGGACATTTTTCTATAACATAAGGAAAAAAAGCTAAACCCACTGTTAAATTCTAATAAGACCTGTAAGTTACCAGTTCCTGAAACAGTCAGTTCCCTCTCTCCACAATTAGAAAGATGGATAAAATTATAATTGTGTATTAATTCTTCCTGTATTTTAGTGACAAAAATATTTTGTACCCTTTTGAAGATTACTATTTTAATAGATCATATATCACACATGTGAGCAGGTGTGATTGTTGTGAACATGTATTCTTGGGGGAAAGATACCTTCTTTCTTTCCTCTTGATGTCTAGGACCATTGTAGAAAATGTCTGTTTATTGAGCACAGGGTTGGGCATGAAGCATTCTAATTTTTTTTCCTGTTCTGGGATTCTGTTATTCTGTAACAGGGACTATTACTTCATTCAGGAAACACTGAACTCTTGCTGTGAGGTAGGAGCTGTTTTGTGCAGGGATTTGGTAGTCAATATGAATGACAGAATCTCAGCCCCTGAGAAGCCTATGTTTTAGAGGAAGAGGCAAAAAAGAAACCAACAACACAGAGTAGAGATGAGCATGTGACAGAGCTATATGCGTGGGTGCCATTTAGGCAGGTGGATTGGAGGCTCTTCTAGGAGGCGGCCTTTGGAGCAGGGTCCTTACCCTGGCCATTCCGCACTTGCCGGGCAGACCCATGCCCACCCTGCCTTGCCATGTCCCAGAGAAGTGTTACTGTGCCACTGGCTCTTGGCAGGGTTGAGAGATCCAAGGCAGGAGCAGAGAAAAGACAGGCTATTTCTTCTTTCCTCCTTCTCCTCCACACTGCCAACTTCCTCCTGTGTCCATGGCTCTGCTAGTGTACTCCTACAGCTCTGGTTCTTACTGAGCTGCAGGGACACTGCCCTCTCCACCTGCCTCTCAGGCTCAGGGATGGCACAAGCACCTCCTGTTTACAGTTTCCAAGCCCCTCAACAACCCTTGTGTTTCGCTTAACCCTGAATGCGTCCCTGGGACAGTTCCTGCAGGAATTTCTCTTCCTATAATGATCAGAAGTGGATTCTGTGTCCTGTGGGGACATTGCTGGTATAGCATGAAAGGAAGGGATAATATAGGAATGAAAGGTATAGCATGAAAGAATGGCACAAATCCAGGAAGTATCTGGGAGGAGAGCCTTCCAAGCAGAGGGAGAGGCACACACAAAACTCCTGAAGAGGAGCTCAAATTGTGTGTTGTGGAGCATAGAGCTATGAGTTTAGTCAGGAGGGATAAGTGTAGGAAATGCTGTTGGGAGGATAACCAAAGTTGGCTCACGGGGACCCCAAAGGCTGTGAAGAGGACTGTGATGCTCACCACTAGTGGCAGAGAGCAGAGGGACACTTGTGGATCATGTAGGCTCAGACAAGTATGTGCAGGAAAACTGATGCCAGAGAGGTAGGAGTAGAAACAGAGAGCAGACTTATTGCAGTTCATTGAATGGATCCTGGTTTTTCCTTAACTTCTTTTATCTTTGAACACACAAGATAGTTCTACTTTTCATGTCTGCCTTTATTCCTGCCACACAGTATCCCAATACTTCCTGCTTTATCCAAGGCTTGAGTGAGAGCTTTTACTCTTTTGCTTATCAATTAGATGTTACTGTCAATTTCTAGACTTTAAACTTGAATATATGAGCATTTACTAAATATGAAGGGAGGGTAAAGTTCCAGAAGAAATAAAGTTTGATGAGGAAAATACTGATAGTTCACATTAGTTTCAACCAAATTAACTCAATTTCTTGTTTTTATATCTGCCGTTTTCTGGAACCCAGACTGTAACTGTGGCTGGTGCACAAGTAATTTTCGCCTCACAGAGTAAAAACAGAAATGCTCCCTTTCCAGCAGTCATCAGGAAGTAGGTACACCTAATTATAGCTAACAAGTTATATTCAGGTGACAGCAAATGCAGATTTTTGAACCGGATCACCAAAAGTCAGATGTGATTAGAGAGGCAGTGATGGCAAACTTTTCTAGAGCTTTCAATGATAATAAACAGCATGCTGTGGCATGCGTGCTGTAGGGTTGCCATCACTGCAATAGTGTGTTTCAGACCACCACTTAGTAGGTAAAATACCACTGCAGGGCTTGGCGTGTCCTAGGAGATGAGCATCATGTTAACTTCATCTCAGAAACACTTGCTTTCACACACACACAGGGCTTAAAATTGGTGAGTGGAGAAGCATTTTCCATCTCTATCTCTTGACAGAATGAAGTTTTTGTTATATTTTAACAGTGTTGTTTGACACCCTGAGCAACTCCTAAGGAACATGGCTCAGGTACCCTTAGTTCCCATCCATTCTAATATTTGGCAAGCATTTTCTTCTCATGGGGCAAATGCTCAGCACACATCTATACCCATGTTTTGTATTGCTTTCATCACAACAAATGGCAAATGGGTGATTGATGCTCTTGGATGATCCACCGATGTTCTTATATGGCTAAAGATGCCTGCTGTCCAAGTCACGATGCCAACATTGTTCCCATCCTGGAGTTTCTCCCATAACTTCCTTTGTAAAGTCCTAAATCAGCATATGGTATTTAAAAAGGTGAGAGGAAAGAAGAAGAAAAAGAGAATAAAGGGAGGAAAGGAAAAGGAAGCATCACACTTAACAAACTGGGAGCCAGGAGGTATAATGTCCCCTGTGTGTGACTGCGGAGCCTGGTCCTGTGCCACAGCTGTCCCACTAGGGTCCTCTGACCACCTTAAAGCTACAGTCAGAGAGCAGTGATTTTAGATACAGGTATTTTGGCCACAACCCATTCTAGTCCTGGCCAGTGGCATTTTGAGCAAAGACGGTGGGTACAGCTCTGTCCCCTGCCTGAGTTCTGCTGGTGGTGACTGTCTAGATGCAGAGGTGTGCTGGACGTCAGGAGACTGTCCTCAAGTAGCCTTGTCCTCAACTTGGAGAAAGAAGTATTTGGTGAATAGGGAAGAAGACTGAGACTTCATGAGAAGTGACTAAATACTGCTGCATTTCAACTTCATTAATCAGAGCAAACATGAGTTAGTGAAAAAATAGATTCCAAATAAGCAGACAATAGGAACAAAGTCTTACCAAGGTGACCATGTGGTGCAGTGTGGGAAACAAACATGCAATTAGCCATGGGTCCATGGGTCATAGCGATGGTGATAGTGATCTAATGGCAGAGGCAGCTGCAGCAGGGCGGGCCGGGCCATGTCATCACTGGGCGTCAGCATCTATGGAAGCAGCCTGGTCCAGGAGCCAGGAAGAGTGGAAGGAGGAGGATTGCGTGTGTGAGGTGTCAGAAAGATTGATGAGGTTTCCCAGATGACAGTGAAGAATGTGCTGATGCAATCTTGAAATGGGCCTGCAGAAGTAAAAAGGAAAAGGAGAAATCGTTGTGTGAAGATCCTGAGGCGTACATGAATTAGCATATGCTAATAGTAATATCTTCCCTCCAGTTTCTCATGTATTAATATATATATATAAACTGCATATCACTTACTTTTTAAACATCTCTGCTAAAATAGTGATTTAGACTAAGTTAGAGACTCAGATCTGAACATCAGACCGTGCCCATGCAATTAGAAATAAAAGGCTTCAAGCCTCTACTCAAAGCCACTGGTTGGAATTCAGAGAATGAATTGGGTTCTAGGATACTTTAATGAAATAGGTATGCCATTTAATAGTTGTTTGTAGTTGTCTGTCTCCTGAACTAAATTACAACAGGGATAGGCCTGATTTTTTTTTCTAAGCTTGGTAGATAAATTAAGTTATCGGTTCACAAACTTAATTTGTTCTATGATTCTGGAAAAGATGGCCATGTTTGTGTTTGTATGGGAAAGCTGGCCACAGTCATGTTCGTTATCCAATGCAGAGTTTGCAAACCAAAACAAAATTTTACCAAACGCTTCTGTTTGTGAACCAAATTGTTTGCAGAAAAAAGCATTCATGAACCAAGGTAACACTGTGCTTAGAATAATACCTGGCACATAGTGGCTGCCTAATTACTGTTGCTGCTTTGATTTTGAGATTATAAAAGGAACATGTACTGTCTCAAATCCATACAGACCTAGCTGGTACATTTTAAGGTACTTTTTAAAAGATGGAATCATTATGCTGGTTACTGGTGATTTACATAGTGTAGCTCTATTTAGAGGAGCAACTAATCATTCCTAGTTTGTCACTGTAATTTAGTTAAATCTTAAAAATGAAATATTTATTCATAAAAGAATAATTCATGACATTAAGTGAATGAGTGGACTGATTTGAGTTTGATATTAAAACTGAGAGATTATGAGAAGGGAGAAGAAAGAGGACAGTCACAGGCATTAAGCGCAGGGCTGCATGGAAGGAGTGTTGAGTGGAAGGCCAAATTAGCTTTCCAGAAGGTCAGTGAGGAAGAAGGGGCAACAAGCTTGCATAGGACATCAAGTCTAAAGTTGCACCAGAGATCCTTGGGTCTTCTAT